TACCTGCTGCAGCCACGAAGCAGCTCACAGATAGCAACAGCGTTTTAAGAGGCCTGTTCAAGGGCAGGATGGCAGAGAGCTGCTAAGTCCTGAGGGGACTTGTCAGCTTAAACTTTATCTGCTCAAGACCTGCAAGCCCTGAACTTGCAGAGAGTTATGCCTGCAGAACAGCTCCCACACTTCTACAGTAGTTTCTCTGCTCTTTACAAGAGTTTTCTTCCTTCACAAGGGTTTTGTTTTACAGGCATTTTCTTTCTCATGAAGCCTTCACTGCGGTATTCCTGTGGTGCTGCGGAACTGCTGTATGAAAGTGACATTATTTCCTGGCCACAGTCCTGTGAAGTGGTCAAGGAGAACAGCCTCATGCTCTGAACCCAAGAGAGTTCACATCCTCACAACCCTCCACGGTGGCAGGGATGGACAAACCTTGTTATACCAAGGCCTGGATACTCCATAAACCTTGTGCGTCATGGTGCAACCATGTAGTCACATAGATCAGAGCTGTGTGGAAGGCACTGGATTGCCATCAAGGACTGTGGAAGCAGAGGTACTCGGTTTGCTCAGTAAAGGATTAAAGCTGCACTGACGCTAGGGACCCTACTCCAGGATCTAGGACAAACCTCTTCTCAGGGCTGAACATGGGGGTGACAGCCAGGGGTTGGCTTGATGGCTGCTTGCACACCGGGGGTCATGGCTCCAACTCAGCAGGGCCGTTTGTTCTCTGCCTTGATCTTCATCCCTCGGCTGTACTGAAAGGAAGTTTGTCCGAGACAAATGCGTATGGCGCACAATGTCAGCTTCAGAGCAAGCTGCGGGGAAACAGATTGAGTTCTCTGTGCAAACCAACAGCGAAACCATTCCTTGGTGGCTTCTCTTGTGGGACACTTCAAAGGCACCACGCATCCACAGCGCAGCTGCTGCCCTGGGGAAGGAGTCGTTGAATACCCTCCATGAATGAGAAGTAAAAATTAAGCAGTTAGATTTGGCACGTGCATCACAATAAAGATCCCTGAATGCTCAGCTTCTTATTGAACCTAAGGCGGGCTGTTAATTCGTTATTCACTTCCCAGCCTGGAAGGAAAAGTATGTTATACCCGAGGGCCAGAACTGATGAACAGAGCCATAAATCAAGCAGTTTACAAGACCAGCAATTAGGAAACAAGCCGACAGAAGGGAGAACTCTGTCAGTAATAAAGCAGATACACCACAGGATCTGCTGAGTGCTCACAGCAACCGGGGACACACAGTCCTTTCCACACTCCATCTCTAATTCTTCCCATCATTTGCTGCCTTTTCCCCCTGTCTTCTACTTCCCTTTATTTCCTCCTGCCCCACCCCTTCCAGTTTTTCCGCTGTTCTCTTCCCCCTCTCTTCCAAAAAGCCTATTTTTCCAGAGAATGCAAGAACACACCTGCTGAGAAAATGGATTTACCAGCTGCTGCCCAGGAGCAGAGACACGTGCTGGGTACCAGCAGCCACAGAAAGACGGAGGGCAGGGCATGATGGAGGGAGCAGTGCGCTGCTCTCCAGTCAAAGGGCTGCAACAGTACATGAGCTCCTTGGCAGGGGGAGAGCCCTGGAGGTCCCAGGGTGGTGTGGCTGGGGCAGTAAGTGGCAGCGGGCAGAGCTGCTCAAGTAAGGAAGGGCTGGGATGGCTCTAACCACATAACCTGTCTTCTGCCCTTGTCATCTCCTCTGATCTCTTTTCCAGCACCAGTCAGACCCAGCTCCCCTGACTTCGACAGCAACTTCCAATACCTTTTCAACACCTCTCCCTTGATTTCTATTTCCCTCTCCTTAGGCACCATTGCAAACCCTGCCCTTACTTTCCTTACTCAAGATGATCTTCTAGAGTGGAGTCACTGGGTGGCCAAGAGGGTTTAGAACCACTGCTGGTCCTGGTGCCATACGCAGCTCTGCACCATGTTGCCCTCATACCACCCCTCCAGAGAAGGGAGGCTGTGGCTGGGGCCGGTCTGACACTCCTTGCTGCATTCCCGTTGCTGCAGAGCTCTGTGCAGCTCAGGACACCGGCAGAGTCAGGCCTGAGCAGCCGCTCTCCGCAGACAGCGCAGGCACACGCACGTGAAATCTGAGTGCAGGACATGGGTGTTTAACCAGGCTCTCCTGCTCTCTCACATATCCCTCCTGCTCAGTGCACTACCACATCTCTAGGACATCACATATTTGGGAAATCTCAGCCAGTGGTGATATATTTTGTCTATGTTAGCCTTCGGCACTGGGTATGTTCACCGGTCCCCCTGCCACAGGAGGAATACAGTTATTTATGAGCCTTATTTTGTCAAGGAAGGAGGGAGACCAGACATTCCTCCAATCATCCCAAGACCAAATGGATCCAGTTATGCCAAGAATTAAGTATGTGATGTTCCAGTGCAGCCTCAAGGGCCAGGAGGAATCTCAGATTTGCAAAGTCCACTCTGTGGAAACACTCACTGTTACCACCCATCAGACACCTTCACAGCAGCAGATGCTGAGGGTAAAAAGGAAAAGAAACAAGATCAGCAATGTTATCGAGCCCCACAGTATGTGCTCAGCCTCTGACATTCCCGCATGTCTCAGCTGACGACGCCAACACTTTACATGAGGTGGGGTCACAGCCCAGGGAGCTTCCAAAGTAACAAACAAACCTCAGCTACCGAAGCCTTTCCCTTTCAATGTTCATCCTCCCTAAAGCCAAGGCTGACACTGGCACGACACTAGGCACACGCACACCCCCTGGAAGAACTGTGAGCTGCCCCTCGTCCGGGAAGGCATGGGCAGAGATGACCCAGCCAAGGTCCCACCAGCCTCCTGCTGGGGAGGGCAGGAGGAATGTAGGTGCTTGAGGGTTCCCAGGACAAGGCCACATGTCTCCTCTGACCACAGCCGCTTCCCACACAGGCCACTCTCCTCTGCTCTGGCCCACAGCATGAGGCAGAGGAGCAAAGTCAGTTTGTCTCCAGCACACCAGAGGCAGGGCTGATTGATAGTCACTTAAGGGAAACAAAGCACTGCCTTTGAATGAGCACCACTCTAACGCCCTCCCAGCTGCCTGCAGTTTTGATCTTGAATGGGGAGACTAAAGATTTGCCTGGAAGAGTTGCTAGTCCACAAGAGGAGGAAACATCTCTAACCTTGAACACAGAGAGACTAATAATCCGCCTCCCCCAGCATCAGGGCAGGGAGGCTTTGATGAGCTCTTTGGCAAGTGCTGTAGGAAGAGGCTGCAATAGAAAGTTAACTAATTAGGTCACTGCAAAGCAGAAGGAAAATAAAGTAGAAATCTTTCCTGTGCAAAGCAGATTCCAGAGAAAGAGCAAACAGCTGCATTACTGGAGACAGGCTGCAGCAAACTCCGCGAGGAGTTGGGGAAGGGAAGGGGTTTCAAGGTCTTGAGAAAAGCAAATCCCAGACATGAGACCATGGCAACAAAGAAAGCTCAGCAGCTGGGGACTCCTTGGGAGAAGATGGGAAACCCTCTTCAAAGGAAGGTTTTTCCCACCCAGATCTTGGCAAGCCACTGTGAGCAGCTACATTGTGCTTGTCCAAGGTCTCTCTCAGGCCAGCCAGCCACAGATTTCACGCCCAGAATGGCTGGACAGTTTCCGAACTACTGTGCCTCACCCCAACCATGCTTTTTCCTTTGAGGACAGGTAAGATCCCAACAGACCGCGTGTGTGGCTTGCAGAAGTGTGCCCTCAGGTGTCCCAATCTGTTATCTTGCAGTCTCTTGGATTCACAGAGCCATGCAAGGGACACCCACCGCCAGCAGGCCCCCATCAGAGAGCATCCATGGAGCTATGCTGCTGTTTAACACCTTTGAGCCCTGCAAACAAGATTCCATAGGTGGTCTTCCCCTACTGCATGACCAAAAGCTTCTTAGCTGTCCATGTTGTATAATAAGGAATAACATAAGCAAGTAGCAACTGCTGGTATGGCACCCATGGGTTTATTCTCCCAGAAATGACATGGAGGCTTTCCATGGCATCAGGTAGCCTTTCAAGTGGCGCTTGTAGGAAATTCCAGCCGCTTGGCTTTGACCCAGATCGCTGGCATTCTGGGAAGGTCAGAGCTCCACAATAAGCCATATGTTCAAACTTGGCTTCCCCTCACAACACCAAGATGTGTCTGCAAGGAATAAAGCCAGAGGTAATGTTAACTGATCGCCACTGAAATGGAGCCTCTCCTTGGCTTTCACCCTAATTAACTACAAGAGGCAGTGCTGGAAGGCCCCTGCATTGCCAATAAAGAATGTGGTGTTGGTAATTAATTAGTGGCCTGTTGGGATCCCAGCACCTCTTGCCCACAGCCGAACTCCGCAGATTGATACAAAGGGGATTTAATGGAAACACAGCAGTTTCTCCATTATGGCCTTAAGCAAAACAGAACTAGTTTTTGAAGGAACCTCATTCACAGTCCTTTCACATGACCAATGCTTGGCACCTAACCCTGCAGGTACAGGATTATATTGGAAAGGAACCTGCCTGCAGAATATGGGAATAAGTGAGAGACCCCCTTAAGTAATTTGGTGACCTATTTATGTTCACCATCCTCCATGCATAAGAAAACAGCAAGAGTAGAAGGATGACAGAGAAAGGCCTCGCACATCAGTGTACAGCTGACAGCACTCTTGGAGACTCAGACCTGGCAACTCATACCCCTGCCTAGAAAACAAGACAGCCCCACTAAAACAGAACATGCCACGAGCCGAGCATCAAGATGTCCTGTTTGGAGAGGTCAGGAAGGGGTTGGGATTGAGCAGGGCACAGGCACCTGGCCAGGGGCTCAGCTAGGGCACCAAATATGGAGGAGGATCTAGTCTGAAACCCCTCCAAAAGAAGACAAGGCTCCCAAATAATCTCTGCTCTCTTAGCTCCAAAAGAAACTTCTCGTTTCTCTCATGTTTCTCAAGGAACTAACCAACACAGTTATGCCAGTTAATCTTCCTGGTAACCCCAGATTTACCATGGACCCCACGTGTTCTCAGCCAGGTAACTTTGCTTCTGTACATCATTTTATTCTTCCATCCCAGTAGCTCCTCTCCCTTTCAGACAGGACTAGCAGAGGGCAATGGGAACTTTCTCCTGGCAATGGAAAATTAGATTTGGTTACTTTAGTTATGTGTGATTCCTGCTTTCTGGCTAATAGACAGTTTTGCTGGGGCCAAATACCACAATTCTTTCCTACAGTAGGAAGCTGGAGATGAAAGGTATCCGAGAGTTGGAACAGAGACAGCAAGCAAAACATCAGGTGGTTCTTTTCACTGCTCATGTAGGGAGCAGTGATGATGAGTGAGGTCCAAGAACCAAGTTGGCAGGCCCAGGGGAAAGAGGAAGGTCAAAAAGGGCACTAGGAAATCACATCAAGGCAGTCCAAGCTGTCTTTAAAAGATGCTCAGAAGACAAGCCGAGGAGCAGCTGCCAGAGGTCAAGGGATGATCTCCCTGGCCTGGGATGGAATAAGACTTTTCTAAGGGTACAGAGGGTCTGGCACCAGATATGAATACCCACTCTGTCCACACCCCACACTGTCACCACACACAAATCCGAATCAGGGCCACAACTGCAGTGTGGCAAAGGTGCCCCATCAGTAACAGAGCTCTGGATGGCAAAGAGCACAGACAAAGAGGTCACCCTGTTGAGAACAAGGTATTCCTGGATATCAGAGCCTGAGATAGCACAGTGTCTCACTGGCAGTGGTGGGACAGGCAAGAACACCCCTGCACACCAGAAGAAAGAAGCCAGACCAAGGGCTGACACGATAAAGAGGAAGCCACACAGACTTAACTTCTCCCTGTGAGGGGAAAAGATGCCCCATACACAGCCAAAAGGTGCCAGAACCACATAAACAATTGCCCCAGACCACAGGTTTATTCCCTTATCCTAAAAAGTACAACAGGCCACTTGCAGGTTATCACCTCCTGGTCTTCCTCCAACTCTAGCCACTGTTCCTGCAGACTTCAGCCCTCTGTTTCAGCTATGTTTATCCTACACACCAACCATATCTACATTAAGCCTGTTCCTTTCATCCACCAAATGCTATGCTTCCTTTGCTGCTCTCACCCTCCAAGAAGCTCTACGGGCCAAATCTTTTCCTTTGGGGACTCCCAGGCCTGGGTGAGCAGGACCAGCCAATCCACAAGCTTAACCTGGCAGCCAGGGAAGCTGCTGCTCCTTCCGTGCAGCCCCCTTTATTGCAACCCCTGAATGTAACCCCCTCACAGATGTTGCTGTACATCCTCTGCCCAAACCTGCAGTTGCCCCATCTTCCTAACAAGCTCACTGGCTCATTAACCTTTCATTTTGCTTCCTTTCATCTCCTCTGTTCAAGCTGGAGCCTTTCCAGGTCCCTCTCCTGGCTTGATTTTCCTCTCCCTTGTAGTTTTGCTCAAAGAGGAGGTCTGCCATGCTTGCTCTTATAAGTCTATTGGCAAGTTACAGCATCTTCCTGACACCATCAACCTCATGTTGGCCTCTCCCCGAGGTGGCCTCCATGCTGAGAGCCGCTGCAACCTCTCCCTTCAGACTCCTGTGATATTCCCCATGCAAACAATCTCGTCTTGAAAGGATAAGGATTTTCCTCTCCAACAGACATCATTTTCACTCCTCTCTGTAGGCCCTCATTTTTCCACATAAAGCTGTCAGTTCCATGAAAATGTCACCTTAATGCTCAGTAACCATCAAGAAACAGATCAAGTGGTATGAATCATTTGGAAAGTAAAAAAAGAACAGAACAGAAAAATCTATGATTCATCCACACCTTGGATACTGCATGCACTTGTGGTCCCTTTATCTCAAAGGGGATATCAGAACTGAAACAGATTCTGAAAAGAGCACAACAGATGGTCAAAGACATAGAGCATAATTAAAAGCACAATTACTGAAGCACAATGAAGTAGGCTCAGACTCATTAGTGTGCAAGAGAAAAGGCTTGCAGGGAAGAAGGAGGGGTGTGAAGTCATCACTGGACTGAAGGAGGATTGGCTTTTCACCTCCTCTTCCACAAAAAGAGGTCGGGGCCACTGATGACGCTAGAAGGAAGCAGACTAGCCCCATGCAGCCTCCCCTGACCAGGGAGGCCATCCTCTCTGCTCTTGAAGCTGGTACAGGGTATCTGCTTTGGGTGTCTTAGGGACAGAGGACCAACCAAATTCACCTCCACAATTCCCATTATCCCATTACTCTCAGTCAAACAACCTCTCTTTTCTCTTTCGTATTAGGAGAAAAGCTCATCCCAATGTTCTCAGAAGTCAGTTAGTTACAGTAGTGCTGAAGGCCTTGCCTTGCCTCTCCCCATCTGTCATCTTTCATTCATTATGAAGGAATCAGCCCCCATCTCCTATCAGCTCATAGCACCAGTCCACCCACCAGATCTTCAAGGAAACACTGTCGTGCTTTTCTTTATTCATGCTTCTAGAAGGGAAAAACACCCACAAAGCTCCAGCCTTATCTTCAAAATCTTCTTTTGCCGTGATTCCTACCGCAAATTTGACAGCACAGCACCAAGATCACAGTCAGAATCACTTCACCACTCCTCTGTTCACTTCCACCAGTCTCACACTTTGGTAAGGAGCTCTCTGGGACACGCCTCCTCCTTTTACCTTGTACAGTTCCATACCACAAAGCTTGGTTTTGCAGCTCTCATGCTGAGGGTCTACCACAGGAGCTCCCGCAGTCGCGTCACTGGTTCAGCATCTTCCTCTTCTTTTCCATTTCTTCCTCTGAAGGACTATGGGAGGGACATTCAGGTCCCTCACTATACAGGTCCCACCCTCTTCCTAGACTGGTTGAGCTGAAGCATAAAGGTCCAGAGGTTTTGTCTCACTGCTCCACAGCTTCCCCATTCCAGCAAGCAGCAGCCTTCAGCCCTGCAGGGGTGACTCACAGGAGCCAGCCTTCATCCCCAGGCAAGTAGATCCCACCCCAAAATCCATTTCAGAAGATGACTCTACTTCTACTCACCAGTGCAAACTATAGGCAAACACACCACCAAAGCAACTCTGCTACCCACCCAGGGCCACTACTTTCTGACTCCTTCCTTTCACTGTCCTGCTCCAGGCTCTACAGCTACAGCAGAGGTCCCAGGTTGACTCCCATAGTCTCGTTTTCCTTTCACCAGTTGGGCCAGGCGATCCAATAGTCTAGGGTGGCCCCAAGACCTCTGTGCCAGTAACAGAACAGCCACCCTGGGTACACACTGGGATGGGAGCAAGCATTGTCCCTTCTGCACTTGTAAAAGTCTGAGGAAGAGACTGGAGAAGCTTTAATGCACAGGGAAAAGTCTGGCAGGTGTTAAGTAAGTGATAAACCTGCTTTGCAGGCAGAACCTATCCTAGCACAGAAAAGGGCAAAGATTTTGGACAAGATTTCACACTCAGCTACTGAGCACTCAGCACCAGGAAAACCCCAATTATCCTGGACAGGGGCCCAGAGAGAGGAAAAAATCCTTGTCCTTGAAGATATACACAAGCTGACTGGATGATGTCCAGACCAACTGGACCTCACGTAGAAGCTGGCTGTGCTTTGAGCAGGGACCTGGACTGAAGACTCCCTGAGGCTCCTCTCACCCAACATTATCCTCTGATAGTGTAGGATTATATATCCCTGAAACAGCAGTCAGAATCTCACTTGCATACTTAACAGCAGGGCTCTTCTGACCAGGCACAGAGCACACTACGGAGCTCAGCTCTCCTCGTCTCACTGGCATGAGATACCCACACAATGCAAGTATCCAGCTTGGTCCCTAAGCTGGTTGCCCTTCAGGTACAGGAGAACAGCATCCCCACAGTCTTGCCGATAAGGCAGAAGGAGAGGGTGCCCCTGGAAAAGCAATCTGCAGGAAAATTAAGTGCTGGAGTGAAATGCTGATTGGTTTGCATTTGAATTTTAGTAAGAATGCACTTACATCAACGTTTGGCTCTAAAAAAAACCCCTTCCAGGTTTGAAAGGAGTTCACAAAGAACCTTGCTAAAGCAGATTTCTTGGCAGTGGGACGGTGTCTGCAGGAGAAACACCAGTTCCCATTGACAGACACTGAGAGGATGAAAAATATTCCTCCTTTACACACTGAGACACCTCAGGACTGGCATCCTGCAAGGAGGAATTTTACATCCTTATCTGGAGATCATAATGGAAAACAAGGAGTTTAGAAAGCCACTTCATAGCCCGGAACACCAGAGTAAGTAAACGTACAGCATCTCAGATGTTTTGCTGAAGAGATGAAGTGTCACAGGCTTTTGATGGGTTTCCAACTAATTCCACTACGCATCCAAATCTGGCTTTAACTCTTCCTGTGCTCTCAGCTTTTAAGACTTTTACTGCCAAGCAGACTGCTACTAAGACCTTCCACGGAATGGCTAAATGCAGCAATTGATTGTACTCATTTTGGCCAAGACTTTCTTCGGCCCTTTCTCCCTTGCTCCAAAGCTTGGCTCTCCCTAACAGTGCAGCACGAGGAGAGAGAGGACTAAGCTGCAAGGATATGGGTTGAAGAATGTTGGGTTTTGTTGCCTGCAGATGTTTTCAGGGGCTTTTTCTGAACTGAGATCAGTTAAATTCGCTCAGGCATTTCTGCGCAGCACCCTTAGACCATGCAGCAGTGTGATGGAAGATAGTTCTGTCAGCAGGGAACACAGTCCTAAAGTCTTAGTTCGGGGTTATGTATTTCAGGGCTGGCATGAAACTAGGGAGGAGCAGACAGAGCCACAAGGGGAAACATTGGAGAGTTCCCTTGGAATAACCCTTCCACAGAGAAGGGTTCAAGCAGCTATAGGCTCTTCCAGATTATGCCTTCCAAATCCCAGGGATCAGTCAGAAAGGGGCTGAGTTGTTATTTCCACAGCCTGACTCTGGAAACTACACCCATTAACACTTGCACACAGAGAGATGGGTTCAGCTCTGGGTATGCCCCTGTTTTCAACAGATGTAATAAATAGGTGTGCTTGCAGTCCAGAGAATCCCCTGCCACACTGCTCAGCGGCTGGCTAGTATCCGTTTAAATAATCAGTGAATCCTCTAATGATACTGTCTGCATTCTGTGTGCCTGAAAGCAGCCCGCTAGAAGCGCTTATGTACTCTTAGACCCTGTGTGATGATTACAGATGATAAAGGTAATTATTTGGGGTCCTGAGTGCCTCTGCTTTCTTCATTCTGACATGGAAGACAATCTCAGTGTTATCAGTTAGATGGTAGAAAGACTGTGATTATACAGACTGCCTCCTGAAGGAAGGGCCAAACCTTTGGGGAAACAAAACACCCGAGGCACAGAGCTGCAGCTGTGACAGACTCCTGCCTTTTCAAACACAAAGTCTTTAAGATGCACCTGAACACTCTGCAAAACCAAGGTCAGAGAGCGATGGGAAGCAGGTTTCATTATCCAGCTGTAAAACCAACAGACAGGAAAGCATTAGCGATGAACCAGTTCGACTGACTTCTGCTCAAAGCAGTGCTGCCATGCAGGCATCATAGAACTCAAGACTTTAGCAAGCTGAATAAAATCACATCTCCTAAGGCAGCAAAATGGCCCATTAGACCTGTCGGTACCATGCATGAAGCTGTGGGGTGGGGGGAACCCTTTCCCACACCAGCCAGGAGTTGATTGCCTTCGGATTACGAGCAGGAGATGCCTCAGGTTTGGATCCAGAGTACAGACCTCTGACTTTTGTTTTAGAACACTTACTAATCCATCACCCAAGACAGTGCAATTGCTTCCCAGCTGGGCAAATAAACAGACAACGCTACTAACCTCTGGGGGGAGGATGTCCCTGTCCTTCACAGAAGATGGGATAAGGCCACTGAAGCTCTCCACCTCACCCAGTCTTTCCCTTTACTTCTGCCTGTCTCTTCTCCAGGCCTTTTCCTCCTTTCTACCTTCCTTCCTGATATCTCCAACCAAGAGTTCACTTCCACAAGCATCCTCACTTCCCTCTGCTGCCTGCTCACTGCCCATCTCTTCTCCCCACAATGCTCAGTTCTCTCCCAATATAGTTCTCCTTGCACAATCCCAGTATTGTGTGCTATGCTGGCTTGGAGAACAGGACAAGCAATCCAGTCTCACACATAACACATGAGACTCTCGTGCTGGACTCCCAGTGGCACCAAATGCACCAGCAGCGCTGTGTAGGGAGGCTCTGTTCTGCTCCACAAGCCCAGATCTGCACAGCCAAGCCTGGGTTCTGGGAGATCCTCCACATGCTGAGCAGCCACACTCAGATGTGGGCTCATGGAGCAGGTGAGACACAGCAAGCATGTGCTGTGACACCTACAAGGGCCCTGCACAGGAGACATAACTGATGGAAGGCCCACCCCTTGTCTTCTGTCGTCTTCTCTCTACTGTCATATGGTCCTGTTTGTAGACTTGGGCTGTGAACTCCCTTTTACATGATCCCTGCCACATCCTGAGAGGGACAGAACTGGCAAGGTCTGGATGGCCTGAACAGCATCATAAATCCTTCCTGCCAGTTCAGGAAGAGGGGGGTTACTGGGAGAAGGCTGAAAGGCAGAAGGAACAGCAGAGTTGGCAGAGCTGAGGCTCACACCAAGCAGCCCTGCTTCCCTCCACACTAACCCCATCATGACCTGGCTCCTGAAGACAGCCACTGTCTGGGATGGAGCAATCTGGAAAACAACCAGTTCTTTAAGTTTTATTATTAAATAAATAAATCAATCCAGCTATCACGAGGCCCTGAAGCCAAAGCAGCCAAGTAAAGGATAGGAGAAGCCAGAAAAGCTTCAGTGAGAACAGGTAACAAGAGATGTGTTTACCACAGAAGAGAGATGAGGTTTCTAATACAAGCAGGCTGCCGCACCACAAACATTCCCTATGGCCTGGTATGGCTGTACAGAGATATTTACATGTACAGGCAGGGAGACGCCGATCCCTGGCTGGTGAACAATCAACTTTTATTCTCTCCAGACCAGCAAAGCCAAGATTTTAGTAAACACACAACCCCAAAAATGTGCCTGCGGATTGGGTAGAGCAGAGCCTGTGCTCTCTCTGCCAAACAACAAAGCTGTTCTGTGGGTGGTTTCATGGTGAGGTTTCTGTGGGGAGGAAGTGTTTCTAGTGGTTAAGGCAGAGAACAGGGGTTCAGGAGAGCTGGCTCCCATCCCTGGCTCCAGGAATCAGGAAAGCTCTGATGCGCACACTTGCAGGAGTCACCAGCCCTCTGTTCACCTCTCCTTGTTCAGGAGCAAATTGCTCCTCTGAGGAACAAAGCAGAGACACAGACTTTTCCCCCACCTGCTAACACCTCCTGACCTTGCAGCATTATTGCAGAGCTTGTGTGATTAATGCCTTCTGAGAGGCTGTCAGAGCTCTTTGGATGAAAACCTCTCTGGAAGGTACTGGAAGATGTGCACATGTGAGTGCAGACACATGAGAAAGAGTCATGCAACTCACACACACTCTGCTTCCCTCCAGCTCACAAATCTCCACCCAGACTTGCTGGTTCTGCTACCCATGCATTTAAATATTTACAAGATGGGTCTGCAGAAAACCTGTGTTTTAAAGCAGAGTAGCCAACACAATAGCTTAACAGATGCCCCTACAAACACCCAACCTACCACCCTGGTTGCCCAGACTCAGCCCTAAGTCTCTGCATTTCACTGATAAAATGAGGCCAATGTGAAGCCAGACTGAAAGCCCACAGCAGATACAGGCCCTACTCATTTCTGGCAGGCTGGCACCAGTGGCCTCCCCCTGCTCTTTGCTTTGTTCTCTCTTCGCTTCATCCTACATGTCATTAGCATGCTGTTTACCCCCCTCCTCCAGCTCATTACTGAAGACACTAAAGAAGACCAGACCTAACCCCTGATCCCCATGGCATGCCATTAGATAAAGCCCTCCTTGAAAAGTTCCCATCAACCTCTTACCTGCGAAGGACTGTTGTCTTGAGGTGTGCATACCTATTAGAGCTAATGACTTCACCTGACACAATTCATTTGCAGTGAACCCCATGGGGAGAACTTACCAACTGCACCGACAATTTTTAAAGAAAAAAAACAAACAAAAGAAGGAAGGAAAGTCACATTGTCACACAGGACAGCTCTGTGTTTAGCGGGCATTCTGGGTTTGCCTGTTTACAATGTTTTATCCAACTTTTGTTTTTACTTCCTGTCCTAAATTGATCTGGGTGCTGTTAACTCCTAAACCTTCTCTTACCTTGTTGGCTGCATTTCAGAAATAGGTGGCCTGAGTCAATCGCAGTGGACCAATGTAAAATGTTGTAAGATACTTCCCTCAAGTGGAAGGAATAAAAATCACTCAACTGTGTGTCAGAGGCTCTGTAGTGTACCTCAGGTAGCAGAAAGATACTGAGAGATGGACACCTACAGGAGGTAGAACCTACCAATCTGCTTGAAAGGCTTTAGGAGCACAGAAAAACTGTCAGTGATAATGCAAAATAAACTTTCCCACTCTACAAATGTCAGGGCATACAAGAAGACACCCAGCCACCCTTTGTATCAGATACCAAAGAGGTATACACTCTGACAACCTGTCAAGTCCCTACATGAACAGCTCATGTGTATCCATGCCCAGGTTTTGAAAATGCCTTGAACGTAAGCTGAGTGACAAGTGCTCCTACATGGTATTTCAGCAGAAATGGAAGAAGCTGCTCAGAAGGAGCTTGAGGGATGAAATACCTGGGTCCTGTAGAACAAGGCTTTTATGCCTACCGGAGCCTGCAGCAGGGCTGCGAGGGATAGGCAAGATCGGAGAGCACCAGATAGAGCTTGCAGTGTCTTGGTAGAGCTGGTGTGGGTGGCATCTATACTCACCCTGAGGCTGATGTCTGATCTCATGATCACCGTTTTTCCTCAAAGCAGGCAATGAAACATGAACAAAGAATTCAGATTTCACTGTAGTTTTACTGTTATAGAGATAGCAGCTCTGCTCCAGCCTCTTCCGTACACACTGAACAGGAGAACATTTCATCTCCTGCAAATGAAAAGAGATAAGAGAGGCTTAGCATGAGGCAGGATTTGTCTCTGTAACTGATCAGTACAACAAAGGGACATACAAACCGTTTATTATGGAAAATGAATTGTGCCATCAAGGCAGATGCCTGCAATTACTTCTGTTAAATATTATCTTTCATTTACTGTAAAATATATAATTAATAAACTTGCCCCCTCATTTTTGTTAAGTTTCACTGCAAAGACCTTATTACTGAAATAAATCTTTCTAGCAGTGCATGTCGACAGAACAGAAGAAGGTGCACGCCTCTCTGTGTGTGATAATTTCCTTATGGGAAATGGAATTATTAGGGAGGAATAATCACCTCTCTTCACGGCTAAGACTGTAGAGACACCCCATTCTGAGACCAGTTGTTTAGGCTCGTGCCTCTTGGAAGCAGGCAGGAAGAATCTGCTTTGGCTGGCAAAGATGACTTGATCTGAAAGCAGACAGGCAGATGCAAGCTCTTCTTTCACGGCAAGTCTGGAGAAACAAAAAATAAAATTCTTTTTTTGATTTACAGTCTATTAAAGAAGTCTTCTGACTATAAAGCTGCTCAGAAAGACCTCGGTGGTTAGGCTGACTCTTCTATAAGTTGCACGCCTGTGATTTGCTGTCCACATACATCAGAACTGTTTTGATTTGGGGATGTTTGGTGGTAGCTGTTAAACCATACCTATTAGAAACGTTTCAAAAATGTTGCTGAAATTTGACTCCAAGCATAAAATTCCCCTTAGACTTTGTCTCCACTTATGATCTTTACCTCAAGTTAGTTGATTGCCAGTTCTACCAGGGGTAATTAAAATATTTCCAAAGGTTGTTCTGGGCAACACTTTTTGCCTTGCTGCAGGCTACAAATGTTCGTGGTTTGCCCTAGGCTGATGTTCATTCCTGCCTGAGTTGGCACAGACAGCAATGCATGCCAAACAAGGAGGAACGCCTGCTCCTTCATGATTCTCCCTGCCCTGGACCGAGAGACCAGTGGCAGCAGGAAGGAGTGTGCAAGGACACACTGGATAGATAGCGATAGAACTTCTGGGTATAGAGAAGGCATAAAGCAGCACAGCGGAGGAGAAAGGGACAGTATGTATTTTAATGAAACCCTACAATTTCACTGCTTTTCGAGATGGCTGGATGACCCTGAGCAGAGCCAACAGGTTGCAGAGACTCGTCCCCAGGCTGCCAGCTTCAGCCCAGCTGAGCTTAGCAGAGAACAAGTGTTCTCATCTTAACCAGCACCTGGAGCTTTTTGCAATGAGATGAGCTTGGGGAGGGAGAGGGTGTCATTTCCTGGCCATCCACTACCAATTTGTCACCCCATTTTGCAGTTGTTGGCAGACTGGAAAGCGAGGGCAAGAGCTCTGTGGGCCACATCTGCTGGGAAATGCACAACTCCTGGCTTGGAGCAGGTCAGGTCTCAAAAAACTGTATTAGAGAATCTTACCCTGCTACTGCCCTGAATCTGAAGGAAAGGGTCCATTCTCCACATCGTTTTAACTAGCACTTAAGAATGTTAAAACAGCCAACCAATTTGTCTACACAAAAACTTTAGAGTCAGCAGATTATCTAGTTAAATGATGCATATACAAATGTTAGTTCACCAGCAACTGAAACCTTCTTACCATCTAAAGATGATAACCCTATACAAAGAAGAAAAGAGAGGGGCTGAGCACACCATCCTTGCAGAAGAAATCGTAAGAATATTTTAGCTGTTACGTACGATGCAGTTACACAAGCAGCACGGGCTGAGAGTGAGTTTAGAAGTGAGTTTGGAATGGAAGCTCTGGAATCATATGATACAACTATTTGCCCTGGTTTTGCTCTAGGGGAGAGGCTTGTACATCAGCCCATTTCCACCAGCATGCCTCTGCATAAACTCTCTGTACAAAAGTGTAATTTTGCTTTTCTGTACAAAAGCATAACGATACTTTACTGTGTGACATGCACGCTCCTATCCCTCAGTAGAGAGGAACCCCTTCATGCACACGCACCGACTCTGCCGACAACCAGGCGTTATTTCATTCCTCAGGATCCCCACTGGGTCGGACCAGGAACGCTGGAGAGCGAAGATGGAAAAGTTAAGCAAGTTAACTGTCTGGGTCTTGGGCTGCAGAAGGGGGAGGGAGCAGGGAGGCAAAGCATCTGGCTTCCCTGCTTCTCTAACAGCCTGGCGGGAAGGCTGCTGTCAGCTCCACCTTCTGCCTTGCTGGAAGAAAGAAGAAGTGACAAGAAGCCCTCCAGGCAGGCAGCCAGGAACCAGAAATTCAACGGAGCTACCTCTTGAAACCGGACTTTTTTGGAGACCCTTTCCCTGAAATTGTTTTGCCTTTAAAAAAAAATTTTTTTCCTCGTGATTCAGCACCAATTCATTACCCCTGGTCTCCTGGCTCTCCTTTCCTCCAAGAAAGCATGATTTGCACAAAAGGATTTCCATTTTCTGGACTGCTCTACAACCAGCCTCACCCATAATAAATACACAGGCACATAAATATGCACACACACACATGCACAGATGCAAACATTGTTATTTATAGATAGAAGCATTGCCATAGACAGATAAATACATGGGTGCCTTTCTTTGCTATATAACGTGCAGGGAGAGAAGTGATACAGCAGCTGAATTTACTCTACATTGGCAGATTAGGAAACAGAGTGTGGGACATACGGTCTATCTCTAGGGCTTAGACCAACTGGTTATTGGCTGGTGCTGTTGTTCCTCTAACAAGCCCCTGGATATATCACTGTGGCTGTAGAGAAATGCAGCTGAAAGAGCCTTTCACTGTCAGTAGCAATCTGTCACTTCATGTATCTTATCCTGCCTCTCGCAGCACAAAAGCTTCTGCGCTGCAAGTCGGTGTTAGAAGAAAGGTCATTTTGCAGGTAGGCTGTGGTTGTTTTTCTTTATTTCTGCGAATGTGTGGCCAGCTTGATGCGCCGTCTGGATGCTGCAGCATGAATTTCAGCTTCACATATTGCCCAGCGATAATTTAAGACAAGGGAGAACTTCCATTACAAACCCCATTTTTTCCCATGGATTTATACCTTAGCTATGCAGCTTCACTTTAGGGTGGACTTTCACTGAATATATTCAAAGGCAGGCAGAAACTATTTTTCTTGTACAATGTTTAAATCCAGCTTGGCCTCTTTTGGTTCTAAGATGGTGAAGGGAATTACGTATGCACACAAACACTCCCAAGGACATACAAAAAGCTTACACAAACATATGCCTGCAGAGAGATCCGTTACAAAAAAAAACAAACCAGACAGGCCAATGCAAATAACCTCAATTTCAGGAGTGAATTAATTTGACTGACTTTATTATTCTAAATTATTAACAAGTTCCAGCAACCTTAGAATGCAATAACCACACTCAGGCTTTCATCTAGGTTAACTGGAAACAGATAACTTATACTGATATAAATTATATCAGTGCAAATCTGTGACAGCAAACTCGGAGGCAGAAACCTGACACACAAGGAGCCCCTCTCTTTGCAGCAGTGTGTTAACAACTCCTGTACGATTCTCCTCCCCTGGAATATTCCAGTGCAATGAATCACCCTCCGACAAAGCCAGAATCCCCCATATTTTCATGAATGCCAGCTGAAACCTGACCTCCACCACAACTCTAATCTGTTTATGACTCGGTCTGGCTTAGTAAGCCCATTTTTGTTTGGGTTTTTTTTTTAACTCTTTATCGATTCTACTTTGATGTAGTCCAATAAACCACACTGACAGAAGCAATTTATGTTGGCTAGTGCCTCTGGTTCCAGGAAAGCGTCCGTGGCATATATGAAGAGAGGTTAAGCACCTTGCAAGTAACATACACATTACCTAGCTATCCCACGCTTACCAGTTTCGTTCAATCCATCTCCACACTTAGATTAGGAATGACTTCCTGTTTCTCCTGCTCTCAAGCAGAAATAGGTATGATTCTCCCTACGTATCACTTCCTAGCGCCACGGGGAAAAGTTGGGAAATGAGAGAAGGATTTTCCCAGTCTGAAGTGGAAAAAGCTGGGAGTGGGCACTGAAAGGAGACAAGCATTTCCCGACTTCTGACGGCACGGAAACCAATCTTATGGCATCAAGAGGTGGCACAGCAGGCAGTGGTACCAGCAGGGCTCGAGCACCTGGAAATGGTATGATGCCCCTATTCACATCTGCTGCACAGGTATGTAAATGCAAGTCATTCCAGTGCCACAAAAATCCAGATTAGGCAGCTAGGAATATTATGGATTTATTCTATCAGCTGGAGATGTTGCGGATATCCTCACGATATGCTGTATTCCCTCTTCCTTTCTTGGTTTCACACCCAGATCTTCTCCCTAAGATGGGGGAAACACTGACTAAGCCCATCATTAAGGGAAGGTGTTCAGTAAAACCCATAGTGCTCGGTGGCCTCTAAGTGCAACGTAATAGTTTTCTTGCTTCTCGCTAAGAGGGCATGACAGCAGGGCAGAGGAGGATAGCTGAGAGCTGCAGAGACTGGAAAACTCAACTCAATTTAGCCACAGAGCAGTTTAAAGTTCCTGTTGCATTTTTCATCTAAGCACAGCAAATCCCCCCCGCTAAGCAACAGCCCAGGTGGCCGTTAATACCGGAACGCTAACTGCACACGCAGCGCGCGGGTATGAGAGAGGGCATGCGCAAAGGCATAGCAGGAGAGCAGCTGAAAGCGAAGCAGAGCGTCCTTCCAGGGAGGCAATGCCACCTGTCAGCAGCACTGGGAGCTGGGCCCTGCGGTGGAATGGCTCTGGAGGTATTTGAGCACTGCCAGATTCTCATTCATTCAAAGCTTCCTGCAGTTAGGAAGCACTCATAAGAGTTTCACTCTTCACCAGTTGAAGCTCCAGGCAGGGGATTCTCTCCAGAGAAGGAGCTCAGGAGCTCCTCCCCAGGGAGGAAGATGAGGGGTGGTCTGGAGAGGGAGCAGCCACTGCTGCGTGTCATGAGTGACGCAGCAGAAATGGCCGTTGAGCACCTGGGGAGTCTTGTGTGGTGAAAACGCAGCTCAGCATTTATCAAAGGGAAAGAATATGGAAGAAAACATGGCCTCTAAACCCACCTGGATCTGCTGTCTTTGCTTAGGCAAGACACCACAGCTCAGTCTGCCTTCTTGCAAGGCTCCCAGGGAGCCCGTGCTGCAAGGAGGGGAGCAGCAGGGGATAAAGGCACATTCAGTTAGCATCAGAGCATGGGCACCTAACTTCAGGTTCTTCATTTATAAAAAGAAAAGCTGAAAAGCTTCCTGTCTCCTCACAGAGAACCTTGCATAGCGCCAAAAGGAGGAGGATTTCTTCCCCCATTCATTCCACATGAGCTCTACAGGTAGGTGGCTATGCACAGGGATGATGGACAGGCGGATGGATGGCTGTAAGTGTGGCAGACAGGTTGAAGCACAGGTGGACAGCTTGCTGAGTGCTCTAGGAATGGGGGCTGCTTGAATTGGGGAGCGTTAGAGGTACTG